ATATATATATATATATATATATATATATATTATGTATGATATGGAAATAATATCTGGAAATTCATTTTATGATCTCCTAAGAATAATAACCAAAAATAGAAAAATAGTAAAATAAGAAAATCATGATACATAACAGTGAAACAATAGTGTTACAATAATAGTGTTTTAATTATATTTATAAAAATATAATTAAAAATACTAAATGATTTTCTTCCCGCTATTTTATATTAATGTAAGAGAGCGTGAGGAATTAGCGAAGATTATTTATTATTGATAGAAATACATAGAATTAATGAAATTTATTATTATGAAAAAAAAATTATACATTTTTGTTTGCTAATTTAATAATTCAGATTGAAATAAACATTATTATTGTTGTAATATTTAAAATATTGTTTTTTTTATGAAAAAAAATATTTTTAAATATTTATTAAAATATGTAAATATATTACATATTTTATTTTTTTCAATTTTTTTTAATTTTGTTATATGTTATATGTTTTTTAATTATTATGTTTTTTAATTATCGCATTCTTTACTAGATTTGACCGATATCGTGCTAAATCAAATCCACCGCCCACAAATGTATATAAATTGTACTTATAGTCAATTTATTTATGAATAGAGACAGATTCATTTTCTGATATATTTCTCGTATATTGTTCATAACATAGAAATCTTGTCATTTGCTATTTTCAGTTGAGATGACTTCATGCTGATATTGAATAATTGTTTTAGTATGTTATTGAAATGTGATAATTTTATTAAATAGTTTCAATTCAGAATCAAATCTAATACAATGTTTATCTTTATTTACGATGGAAGTTTACGCCTTTTTCAACTGCATGATAATTTATAATTTATCCATCAGGCTTCCCTCATTTATTTTTGTGTTTTTATTTATTTTTTTTTAAATTAAAAATTAAATTAAATTAAATTAATAAATTAATAAATTTTATACATAAAAAACAATATTTATTACAATATTACAAATTGAATTTCTTTTATAAGAAAAAATAATAGAAATTTATATAATTATTGGGTTCTATGTTAATAGCACAAAATATAATAGATGTGATTAAATATATTTATATTTTTTGTATGGCATTTATTTTATAAAAAATGTGATAAAAAATAAATGTATATATGTATATATACTATATTTAGCATATATATATATATATTGATATATTTATATTTATATAATTTAAAAATATATTTTAATTTTTGAAATTTATTATTTTACATTTAGAATTCACATGACTTAATTTTTATTAATTAATAAAAGATTTGTATTTGCAAAATTTTTAATAATATTATGTAATTTTTTTCAGAATTACGATGGATCAAGGATTTCCAGCACAACACACTACAACTACCACTGTAACGACGAGTACAACTACAACACAACCAAATATTCGATTCGATTCGTCTTATATAAGAACATTGCCTGGAATTCTTAAAATCGTTCAAGTAGTAAGTTAACGGTCGTAGCATTATATTGTAAGATCTAGAATTACTTTCTAAGAAAATGTATAAGACTTATAAAGCTTATAGGCTGCTTTTGCTTATAATATAATGCTATGATGGACATTAAAAAGACGAACATTTGTTTTTTTGACATTCGTCTTGATTTTATATATCACATGTATGTTTATCATTATTATAAAATAATATATATATCTATATGAATTATCTATATTATATATATGAAATTAGTATTATGAAATTATATTACAGATGTTAATACAGTGAAAATATAAAATAAAATTTCTACAGTATGTAGTCTAATTTTTAATTTTTTAACAATATCTAATTTAATTTCATTAAAAATAAAAAAATATAATTATTAATTATATTATTATTAATTATTAATTATATGCTTTTTTTTATAGGTTCTAAATCTTTTGGGATTTATATGTATTACGGTATCGTCTTATCATGCTAGCCGCGGAGAATGGTTTAATACTGTGGCTATGGGAGGTTTTTGGTTCACAGGAATATTACTTGTTTTTTATTTGTTTCATATTGTAGAAAAATTCTCGAAAATTCCTTGGTTAAAAATTGTAAGTTAAAAAAATAAAAATAATTTTTTATATATAATTATAATAATATAAGATTTTTGGCAAATAGTAATAATTTTTGAACTGATATTTCTTAAAAAGTTAATAGTGGTTTTTACCCGAGGAAAAAAAAATTGATATTATAATAAATAATTAGGATACTTTATATTTTAATATACTATATGATATATCAATTATTTTAATCATTTTAATATTATAATTTTCTTTATTTTTTGTTTTTTATTTATTAATTTTTGTAATTTTGAAATTTTATTTGTTGTATTGTATAAAATAATATTAATTAAGAATGTTTTAAAAATAATATCATATAATATTTATAAAATAACGTCATATTACATTTTTATTTATAGGAATTTTTATTTTGTATAATTTGGACTGCTTTCTATTTGCTGGCTGCTTCTCTTGCAGTTGATTATGCCAAATATATAGAAGCTTACGGAGTAGCAGCAGTAAGTCTTTTCAATCAATATTGAAAATTAAAAATTAAATTAAATAGTTTGTAATTGAAGTGACCTTGAACAATTAATTAAGTTTAGATAAATTATAATTTAATGAATTGTTTGTTTAAATTGTTTAATGTTTTTTTATATTTTTAACATTTTTATATATTTTTATAGTTTTTCGGATATTGTGCTATGGTAGTTTATGGTTATGATGCCTGGCTTAAGTTCCAAGCAATAAAAAATGGTGCATTAGCACAGGGACAGCACACACCGAAACAAGTGTCTACAGTGACAAGTCCTGCGTACTAATTTTATCATAAAATATATGATTTTTTTGATGAACTACACAAAGACCAGTTGTAAAACATATCATTGCTTTTATAGAGAAAATTTGATAAATTTACTTTCAAATTTTTCTCATTTTAATGCTTTAATGCAAAAGATTATCAAACAAGAACAGGATACAATAGATTTGAAAATTTCATTATCTTTTATCTATAAAACTTATATATTTGTGTATACACATATTATGTAATTTCATGAAAGAAAAGCAATATTCTATAATTTTATATCTTTGTACTATAAAAAAAATTATATATATACAATTATAATATAATGCGTATTTCGGAATTTTTCATATTAATAATATTAATAATGATAATATATTATATATGTATTTAATTTTTAAAATCTGTTAATATTAAAATAATATTTTTAACAGATAATATATACATATATTTGTATACATATACAAGAAATATATATTTAAGTATTGTGTTCACACTATATGCAAAATCAATTAATATATTTGTATTCATTTTGTATTTAATTTTTTCATTTTATACAATGGCAATTTTATTGCATTCCTGATTAGAATGAGACATGGACAGATAGTTCTCTTAATTTATTTGTAATTATTCATATAAAGATCATAATAGAATGTATTATATAATAAATCAAGTTAATTTTGCCATTTTTACTTATTATATATATGTATGTTTTATACAAAATTATATATTATTAAATATGAGTAAGATTGTTTATAACATTTGTAAATTTGTTCATGATATTACGCAGCATGTTAAAAATATTTTTGTCATTTTTATTCGACAAGTTCAATACAAGTACCTAAACATATATATTATATGTACATGATATAATTATATACTAAATAATTCTAATTATAAATTTCAGAATAAAAGTAATTGATGATAATGATAAAATGTGTATTAACTTGATATTTAAAAAAATAAATTATTTAATATCTTCTGAAAATTAGACCGTCATTATTTTCATAAAATATAATTGTTAATTATAATATATAATATTGCTAACTTAATAGCTTAACTTATTATTTTATATTATATGTTTTATTTAATAAAACTCTACTTTTTTTTTCAACAAATGTATAATCACAAGAAAATTTTTTATCGATTTTTATGTAATTCAATATTTTAAATGAAGACAAAAAAAAATTATTGAAATATTATTAATTTCTTTGAAGAAAACGAGGTCTACGAGCTTGTTTCTTACCCATGCTCGATAGATCTATAGTTTTACCATCAGGAAGTACTAATTTATTTTCTTGATAATCCACAAATCCATTTTCTTCTTCTTCTCGTTGTTCTTCATCGCATTTGATTCCAGTTTCATACGTATATTCTCGACGAATGCCATCTGGATCAATATAACCGTATTTACCTCTGGTGATACAATCAATACCGATTATTTCTTCTTTATATGATCCATCGTCGTTTTCAAAACCCCATGTGATAGAGCCATCCGAATTATCGTTACGATATCGTCTTATAATCTATTACAAAATATTAAAATATTTTTAAATATAAATTTTAACTTAATTAAATTAATTGATGAATTTTTTATTTTCATAAATAATAATCAATCATTTTAAATCAATTTCATTTTGTTTTGATATAAAAGAATGATAAATTATAAAAGAAGATTATAAAAGAATGATAAGGATCATTCTCTCCTTTTAGAAAATTATATTAGAGAGATTATATTAGAAAACTATATAGAGAAATTACATATGATTGTTGAAAGTTTAAATTGTTTTTACTACATAAAAATAATATCTTTTTATTGTACTCAATGTATTTTTATTTATGTTTTTATAATTTCATATTTAATTATAATTATTCTAATAATTTTTCATTCTTTTAAACTTTTTAATTATTCAAATTAAATGCTAATGATAGACGATTATTAAAATGAAATATATACATATAAATGAACAATATACATATATGGTTTTTTATATAATAAGAATGAAAAAAAGCTTTAAATATTTCATGATATTAATATAAGATTTGTATGTATATAAGATTGTAAATGATAGAAGATTTCAATTACTTTTTTATAAATTATTTTTCTTTAATTAAATTAATCCCATTAAAATAAAGAAAATCCTTTAAATATTGAAACTTAAACAATGTTATCAGGTTTGCACACTAACCTGTGCAACAGGCTTCTTTCCACGAGTGTCATAAGATTGAGATGATTTCACTGGTTTTGTAGGCGGTTTAACTTGTTGCTTAAATGGTTCTTCTATCGGTTTTCTTGATTTGTTTGGTTTTGATGTCGATCGATATTGAACTGGTGCTGATGGCGCTGTTGGAAATGCGCTTCCTCTGGTGGTTGGACTTCCTGTTCCCGGAAGAGGACGATATTGTCCCGATTGAGCTGTTGGGACAACATTAGCGGAAGTTTTTGATATAGAACCAAGATTTGTAACGGTACGTGGTATGTTTTCTTCACTTTCTTCTTGACTATCCAACGGCTCGTCACTTATATTGACATCATCATCCTGATTATCATGTTCTCGCGGTGATTCGTGAATTCGAATTCCTTCATCTGGTTCTTCGTTCACTGGTTTAATTTGTGGAGGAAGTGATGCTGATCCAGTGGGTAAATTTGGTTTCAATGACTTAATTGGAGTAAAGGAGCCTGGTCCTGTTCCAATTGAATCTTCGATTCTAGATCTATAGATAGATAAAAAATAGTTATTATTAGTTACTGCAATGTTAAACAAATTAAGATTTGGAAAATATTGAATGTTCATAAATCTAAATTTATGCATTTATTTTTACATTTATATTTTTAATAAAATAAATTGTATCATTCATAGTGTTAATATCTACTTGGCTGTTATAAAAATTAATATTGATT